TCTCTGCTACAGACAGGTCCCAGAGAAGCCCAGCAAACAAGCAAACCACCAGGCACTGCCTCACACAGCCTACAACCTGAAACCACCTTTGTGTCCCCAGCTGTGCTTGAGGCACATGAAAGGATTTGTGAGCTCCCTCAAAGCTCAGCAGAAGTTCAGCACCTTTTGAAACACAGTTCCTCACCCCCCAGATGCCACAGGTGCCATTATTTCCAGTGCAAACACGAATGTCAGCAACTTGTGTTTACCTACACTTGAACAAGAGTCAATAGCCACCAAGAGCAGAGAAATGTGGACAATTCTGGGATAGGCAGGGAAACAGAAGCCTAAACTTCAGCTGTTTCAGTACATGAGGCCTTTGCAGAATAAGTATTAATAACTATAATCATGCAAATCTTTAGGGGTGAGGAGGAGAGGTGGGGAGGGACCCCTATTCTAATTAAGCAAGATGATTGCTGTTGCTCCATATTTTTAACTGGAAAAAAAGGGGGCTGAAGGAATGAAAAAGGCACATTCAGATGTGGAAAAGTGATCATTGAACCATGAGCCACACTCCAGAAGGGAGCTGGGAGCATGGAGGGGGGATCTGGCAGACCAGGGAAGTGTCCCTGTTCACAGGGGCTGTTACAGGCCCAGCATTTGTCACACAGAAGGCAGCTCTGAGAGGAGTGCACATCACTGCCATGCCAGCTGATGGATCCCCCTTTCATACCCACTCTCCTCCAGCTCTGCATTCCCCCCAGGCCCCATCCTGGCAGATATCCCAGGGTGTGAGGAGCTGTCCCTCCTCTCCATGCTCCAAAACTGCTCTTGCAGTGGTCATGGAACTGCTCAAAGCCTGACACAGTGCCAGGACACCTCCCTCTCCTGCAGGCACCACTGGGCTCCACACCAGTCCCAAACATAAGCAGATGTCTCTGGTCTTGCTCAAAGTGGAAGACAGGGTAAGACTGGAGTGACACAGCTACAGAGGAGACAGGAATTAAATGATGAAGAGCATTACATCTGAGGGACATTTAACCTGACAGCCAAATCTTTCATGACCCTCATTCCATGAAATTTATGACAACTGGGTTATTGCTGAATATTCTGGGGGATACTGAGACCACAAATCCTGTGGAATAAAGAACATTAATGCAAAATGTAAAGCTCACCCAGACTAAATGCCTACACAGGGATTTGCCCCAAGCTTCCTCTGCCTTCAGGTAACAAGGGAGGGGAGGGTTTAGGGTTTCAATCAGCACATTTGTAAATATGAAGATGTTTCAGCTCCTGAGACAATGAATCATTTCCCACCAGTTAGAAGCAAACAAAAGCTGGTGCTGCCTCCAATAAACATGTGAAGGTGCAGAAGTCAGAGCTCCTGGATCCTCTGGCACCTCAGCCCTGGATAAATCACCAACCTGCTCATCCCACACACACCCCAATTTGGGAAGTGGGGAGACACTTGTTCCATCTATTCCTATCACTGTATAATTCCAGAACACAGTACTGCCTTATTTCCTGGACTTTTCACTTGCATATTTTTCAGGGTGATAACCACCCCTGAAAAAGGCTGGAAAACTGGTGAGAAGAGTGGAGAATGGGGCCCATGGCATGCAGTATTTCCAGGAAAAAGGGCACTGGGCTGTGCAGATGCAACTGCCCACCTTCAGCCAGGTATCTGACCTTTGGAGTTAATGGGAATTCAATCAAACAGAGCAGTGTCCCTCAGTGGGCTGGGACACAGGAGGGGTTTCTGGGGAAGCAGATCAGCAGCCCTGCCTCACGGTGCCTTTCTGTGCTGTTTCATGGACACAGACCAGCTCTGCCTTCAGGGTGCAATCACAGCCCTCTCATAAAGCAAAGATGCAGATGAAAGCAGAATTAGGGCTTAAAAACACAGGGTCAAGCAGGGAAACCAGGAAAGCACATGATAAAAGTCTCATTCTGTAGGATCAGACTATTTTCCCTTGTGAATAGCTAAAGAACACTGTTTATCTCTGAAGCAAACTTACCCACTCCTTCCTCACATGCCTGCCTGCCCTGCTTGGGGGATCACTGCTGTTTGTTTAACACTGACAAACATGTCCTTGAGATTCCATCCTTTCTGCAGGGTCAGTGAAAAAGTTCACACAAACCCGAGGTTTAGTTAAAAATCAGACAAAGCATCCATTCAGCAGTGACAGGAATTGCTGGGTATTTTCAGGCCATGCTGAGCAGGACCACCACACAGAGGCAGTGTTAACCAGAACAGGTGGCCAAGGACCCCCCTCCTGGCAGGACACAGCTGCCCCCAGCCCCACTTCAGCCTGGCAGAGGGGGGAAACTCCAGGAAAATCACAGGAAAAGAGCAGGATGATGCTAATATCAGCGGGCAGAAAGAATGTCCACTAACCAGAGGGAATGTTTCTTACCCTTTTTCCAACAAACCAGCAGGTTTTCTCCACAGAGAACCTCCCCAGGAGGCTTCCTGCATGAGCTGAAGGGCTCTGGAAGATGCTGCACCTTTGAAATGGTCATGCTCAGCCCAGTTATTTCACAGGTTTCTCTCAGAGGAACTGGGGTATTAGCAGAGCCCAACGTTCTGAAACACCAGCAAAGGATTCACACACCAGGAGAGGCTTAGATTAGATACAAGGAGGAATTTCTTTACCAAAAGGGTTGTCAAGCACTGGAACTGACTGCTCCTGGACATGGTTTCTTAGAGACCTGGTGCTAGGGACACAGCTTAGTAATGGACTCAGTAGTGACTGGGTAAGTGTTGGGCTCAGTGATCTTAGAAGGCTTTTTCAACCTAAAAGTCTTTTTTCAACCTAGAAGATTCTATGGTTGTGTTGTTGGCATCAACACCAGAATTCACCCTCTGAACTTCTGGCTGGCAGAGGGCAGGGACTGGTGGGATATGGTTCAACATCTCAGGAGGGTCAGGTCAATCTGTGCTTGGTTTTAGGATAAATATGTTACATCAATTAACTAACATTAATTAATATGTTTGGTTTCCTACATTAAAATCATGTTTAATGGGTAATAACTGAATGCAAAGGTAATCACTGACCTACAATTAGGCTTCAAACCACTGACCACCACCTTGAACAATCTCATACACACAAGAATGGCCCAAAATGGCATCCTTGGCTAGAGTTTAGCTCTTGCTTCACATCTTTTATGAGGAACAAACACTCTTCTGACCTCACTGTAAATGGTTGCACAGTATTTCCTCTTCTAGGAGGGGATGAAAGACTCCAATAAACAGTAAAGTGCTCAGAAATAAAAATAAACCCACAGACTTTGGAATGTCTTCTTTTTCTTTCCCAAATTACTTCTCCCCACTCTTCAGTCTCATGTCTTACTTGGAACACTGAAATGAGAAGAAGGAAAGCAACCCTTGGACTGCTCACTGGAATTCCAGTAGAGAAGCTGCTGTGAGGAATGAGCACCACCAGGAAAGAAGAAGAGAAGCAAAAAAGAGAAGCAGCCTCAGGCCATCCTGGCAAAGAGAGTCCAGCCTTGGTCAGCCTCATCTGCTGTTCCCTGTCACAGAGGACACAGAACAGCCCCAGATGCATATGAAGGACATCACATTGGCATCATGTTTTCTAAGGAAAGACACCCAAGTCTGTGCTTCCAGAAGATGAACTCCAATCCCAAAAGTGGACATGGGTGAAGTAAAGGAGCGATTCATCATGCTTAAGGGCAAAAATACTGCATGCATCTGGCTGGAGGCTTCCACTGTCCTCTCCATTACACCTGTCACAGTAAGAGAACAGATGACACTGATGGAAAGCCAGACTGGGGATGGGTTTTTGTTCTTCTGAATTGTTTGCTTATGGCTGTGAACTGATTTAAAAATACATGTGAAGCATAAAACCTCAGAGCAAATGAATTAACAGACCACAGATATAGGTGGTATTAATGATTTGGAATGCCTACTACATTAGTTCCAATTCAAAGCAAATGACATATTTGTTTTCCCGTTAAGATGCCAGTAAAAGTGGCAAACAGACACAAGCATTCTTGGTTGCTTACAGATCATTTGCTGATCATTTGGCACAGAAAATCACTGGTGGGTAATTGAGGTTCTGCACAAGTCACAGACAAAATCCACTGTGAATTCAGCACAGCCACGCAGAGACCACAGCTGGCATCAACCAATAAAGGAGAAGTTCCTACTCTCTCTGTGTAGAACTTGCTGCTAAGGCTTCACCAGAACCAAACTGAAACAGCTGAGGAAGAGGGTGGCAGTTCAGAACAGAACAAAGTGTTTCAGATTGCAAGGCAAGATGTTTTCAATTACCATCTGTATGGCAGATTACCTTTGTCAAGTGGGCAGTTTGCCTTATCTCTCTCTCTGAGTGACCACAATCACTCCTCCCTGGGGAGGGGACATCTGCTGATAACAGCTATTGAATGTCCCTGCATGGCTGATAAGAGCTACAGCATCCCATTGGGAGATGTGAGCCCAGGGGGAGGAGCCAAGCATTCCTACCTGGATATAATCTGGAGATTCTGGAACACCAGCACAGCTTCTGCACTGGATTGCCCAGAGGAACAGCAGCTGCCTCTCCTTCCCCTGGATCTTCAGAGGCAGAATCCATCCTTCTCTACAGGATCCCTGCTCCAGCAGAGCCACCCCTGGCACTGCAGGAGGGCTGAGCCACAATTCCAATGGCACTGCTGCCAGCACCCTGACCCACAGGGTGTCAGGCTGGGTTCTGACTCTGGCAGTGTTGTTCTAATTTACTGCATTGTTTATTTTATCCTTTTATTTTTTTCCTTCCCCATTAAAGAACTGTTATTTCCTGCTCCCATATTTTTGCCTGAGAGCCCCTTAATTTAAAATTTACAGCAATTCAGAGGGGTGGGGAGGGTTTACATTCTCCATTTCAGGGGAGGCTCCTGCCTTCCTTAGCAGACTCCTGGCTTTCCAAACCAAGACACAAAGTTTTGCTCAGACACCTCTTGGTGGAAGTGTCTCTGCTGGAGGAGCCAGCAGGAGTGCAAACACGCCCATCCATTACCTTTGGCCGCTTCCATTCCACTTTCCCTTTTGCTGCTGAGTCGTAGTACAGGGATTCATCCGAGGCTGGAAACTCAGGGTCCTCAAAGAGGATCCCCTGCTGGAGGCACTGCCCCTTCAGCTCGTGGTACCTCTGATCTCGGAAGAGCTGCACTGATGAGGACATCCTCTGTCTAGATAAGATCAATATTGGACAAACTATGAAGGCTCTTGAAAGTCCATAGCTGGTACCACTCCCTGGTCTTGAACAAGAGAGCATGTAACTTGTTCTAAATGAGGTTACTGATTTATTTACAATAAAACAAAAAAAATCCAGATTATAAATTAGATTAGGTTAAAGACTGGGAAAGTATAAACCCAAGAAGATCTTATAGATAAGGATCATATTTTTGTCTGAACAGAATTCTTATCAGAAAAGAGCCCAGGCCAGGCACAAACCCAACATTTTGCTTTGTCTAACTGATTGGAAAGGTAGCAGAATGAGGCTTGGCTCTCAGTCTGCACCATGTGTGAAGGGCTGGGTCATCTTTCTATCCTACATTCCTCTTCTGGTCTCTAAAGCTCAAATTATCTACTCCAAATCTTGAGCCTAAAAAAACCAAAACCAGATTTCCACATTTCTCCATCTTAATTTAAGTGACAATACTTTGGCTTGTAGTATTGTCTTTGAACTTCATGTTACTTTTCAGGGAACAGTTTCCCAGAAGGAGAAAATATTTGCAAATAATTGACGAGAACTAAAAGTATCTTTAAAAAGCATAACAATAAAAAACCCGAACAATGTGTTTCAAACCATAATTCCCAGAATCTTGATTATCAAACTTGGCAAGTTTATGGTCGCACCCATAGAGCTTAAATAAATTGCTTTAAAACATTTTACAAATAAGGAATCAATTACAGAAATCACTCAGGGTAGTTTGAAATTTGGAGGACATGAGGGATGCTATCTCTGCTTCAAGAGAGAGAGAGGTGAGAGCATCTGAACTTACCCTCTTTGGAAAGGTCCTGTGTGTCAGCTCCTTTCCTCTTCCTTCTGGACACAGGCTGGAGTTAGAGAGGTATCTCCCCTTCCTTGCCTACAGCAATAAAGATAAGTGCAGGTTGAATTAACCCACATCCTGCTCTGGAGCATGGCACCACACGGTCCTGGCAGCCACCCGCTGTGTCCAGCTGCAGGGAGCTCAGCTGGTGCTCCTTGAGCCACCTGCAGCACAAACTGGATGAGATTCCACAATTCTGCAGGAAACTAAACCAAGCTTTTGCAGGTGTGCAAGTGAGCACAGTCAGAGAAATACAGAGTAATGAGGAACAGTTGGAAACATCAAATTTATCGTGGTCTTTGTTCTTGTGAGTGAAAGCTCTTTGTGGCTGCCCCATCCCTGGAAGTGTCCCAGGCCAGGCTGGATGGAGCTTGGAGCAACCTGGGATAGTGGAAGATGTCCCTGCCCAAGGCAGGGGGTGGGGCTGGATGGGCTTTAAGATCCCTCCCTATCAAAGCCATTTTGTGATTCTATTGCTTTCTGTTCACTTATCTCCCTCAATGAAAGGTCTCAAGGCCTCTCACTTGGCAGGTGGCCTCCCAAGACAGGGCAAATAGATTTGCTTCCCCCCACAAACCAGTTCTTCAAATTCAAGTGTAGAACAACTCGTCAATTTTACAGAGGTACCTCAGGGACCACAACAAAATAGTCTGACTAATTTGGGCGGGATATAGATTATTTCATGATAACTGGCATTCTTGATCATTAAAAATTCCCCATGAGCTATCTAACATTCTAAACTGAGTCTATTTGTTTTTAAAATAGCCCCTGGGCGATGAGGTTTCTGTCACTGCCTAATTCATTGAGACAGGTCTTTCATGACCTCATTCCCCTGCCCTTTCTCCCCACCTATCTGCCAGACAGGAACGTGAGTCCTTCCAGGATTAACACTCCATGCCACAACAGCCTGGAATGTTCTGTGGCAATGCACAGAAGGTGGTGACAAAGCACTGCCTTGCCCTGGGCTGCACAGAGAGGGAAACACCAACAAGGAGGAGGCTTCTCCTGCCCCTCTCCAGGCTCCCTGTGATATCTGCAGTGTGTTTTAGGGGCTCAGGCTCCCAGGGCTGCTCATCCTGGCTGCTGAATGTTTCACCCCTACCCAGAAGGCACTGAACTGAAGTCTCATCACCATCTGGAGGAACCCACTTTCACAGGAACCCAGAGCTGCCCATTTTAAATTCAATAAAAAGATCTCTTTCTTGTAGGAAAGCCCTCCATCAAGAATGCCAGGGCAGTTTCTATACAACAGCCTGGTGGTTTGAGTGCTGAGGATGGAGGAGCACAGCTGAGCCCACCTCTCCTGGAGCATTCACCTACCAGGACATGGCCTGAGGCAGACCTGGCTCCCATTCCAAGGTTTATTTTTGAAGCAGCTCCCAGTTTTTGACCCTCAGTTGATGACTGAAGCTCCCAAACTAAGAAGCACACACTCCTTCCTGCAGCTGGGGCAGCAGAGCAACCCCTGCTCCACACCCACAGCTTTACCCTGGCTCAGCTGGCACTCCAACCTTGCAGGGCTGAGGAAACACTGCAGGGCTTGGCAGCTGCTCTGCCATGTGATACCAATCAGCTGTGCACAGTGGGCTAAGAAACACAGCCCTAAAAATACTGCACCCCAGCCCAGAGACACTGTGGTTCTGCAGAGAGAAGGGACCACTGCAGGGGAGGGACAGAGGAGAAAAGAAGGGGGAAAAAACGCTGAAGAGCTCTACAGGTGACCCAATCCCCTGGGGTATCAGCAGAAGTACAGGAGGCCTCACGTTACTGAGCTTTCAGCCTTGCAGCTTTTAAGTCTTTCTCTGCCCCTCTGTTTTTCCAGAGAGTTTCCTATTTTGATTAAGAAAAGGGATTCAGCAGAAGAGTGACGTGGAGCTGGTGCAGAGTCCCCTCTTCAGCCTGAGCACAGAACAATCTCAGTTTTACTTACAGTTTATTCTCAGAGATGATTCCTCTGCCAGAGCCAGCCAGAGCACAGCTAAATCCCATTCAGCACTGGGCAAATAGCAGCTCCTGGCCTTAGCAGCAGCCAGAAATTAAAGGGACATCCACTTGAAATCCAGGTATTCACCAGAGCATTAAGGCAAGCTTTGAGTGTTAAACTACCCAACAGTGTTTCTTTACACTCACATTTCCCTGTCTTAACCTTTCTCTCCCCCAGCTGCTACACAGGAGATCCACAACAAACAGCACTGACTGTCCAGACAGGTGTGTGTGGGAGAACTACACCCTCCTTATCCTTGAATTCATGCAATAAACACATAAACCTGAACAGAATTCACCTGCTCTCATCCCAGTTTGGTTACTATGTGTGACCAAGTGACATGCAGGGTAAAAACCCAGGCAGAGCAGTTATTGCAGCTGCTAAGCCCAGCCATCCCTCCCACTCCCATCCTGGCCCCAGGGGCTCAGGAACAGCAGGGCTGGGTTTTTCCTAACCAAACCCAGCATTTTTAGCCCCAAAGGCCAAGCAGCTGCAGAGGGCCCTTGGTGCCAGATGAAACTCCTCTGCAAGGAGGAGGCTTGATGTGTTGTAACACATAAATTCTATCACACACCCCACTTTGCTGTTCCAGCTGCAGGACTCCAAGGAATTTCCATGCACAGCACCGGGACTAAAAGGGCAAAGTGCATTTCCAGGCAGGATTTAAGGCCACGGTTGGACAAAACTTTGAAAATGAAACTGCTTCTTCCTGAGAATCCTGAGTTCAGGCCCACATTGCTGCTGGTTCAGGAGCCCCTGACTGGGAAGGCCATGGAGGGATGCCAGGAATGATGCACACAGCATATTCCATGCTCTGGGGGAGCCTCCCAGGCTGAGAGAGCTGGGGTGCCTCAGCCTGCAGAAGAGAAGGCTCCAGGGAAACCTTAGAGCAGCCTTTCAGTTCCTAAAGGGAATTTACAAAAAAAGAGGGAGAGCAATTTTTTACATGGGCAGAGATTGATAGGACAAGGGGAAGTGGTTTTAAATTGAAAGAGGGGAGGTTTAGATTAGGATACCAGGAAGAAATTCTTTCCTGAGAACTGGCACAGGTCGCCCATGCCAGGAAGTGTTCAAGGCCAGGCTGGACTGGACTTTGAGCAGCCTGGAAGATATCCCTGCCCAGGGTGGTGGGATGAGATGAGCTTTCCAACCCAAAGCATTCTGTTATTGTATGAACCCAGCTTGAAGATTATTGTCCCTTTGCAGGTACCAAGTTGTCACCTTGGCAGGACTAAGGGCCACACCTGGTTCTCAGGTTTCTCTTTTGTACCTGCAGTTGTGTGATGGTGTTCACAGGGGTCTTGTGTTGAAGGAAGTGATGGAGATCTGACTCCATATTTCAGAAGGCTTGATTTATTATTTTATGATATATATTACATTAAAACTATACTAAAAGAATAAAAGAAAAGGTTCTCCTCAGAAGGCTGGCTAAGCTAAGAATAGAATCAGAAAGAATGATAACAAAGGCAACTGTCCCAGACTCTCTGTCAGAGACAGCTGGGCTGTGATTGGCCATTAATTACAAACATCCAACATGGGCCAATCCCAGATGCACCTGTTCCATTCCACAGCAGCAGATAACCATTGGTTACATTTTGTTCCTGAGGCCTCTCAGCTTCTCAGGAGGAAAAAATCCTAAGGAAAGGATTTTTCATAAAAGATGTCTGTGACACAGTTGTGTGCCTGTCATGACAGCACAAAAACACATCCCAGCTCCAAACTCTGCTCCTTCAACACTGACTCCTCACCAAACCTCAAAGCCACTGTTTGGACTACAACAGCAAAACAGGGACTCAAGTATTTCACTGTTTGCAAACATAGTTTTGTATTTTCCCAAACATCTCTGTCTCCAGAGTTTGCTTCAGAACAATCAAACCAGTGAATGCCTCCAAAAAAGCAGCCCTGCAGCCAAAAGCTTTAAATTACTCTGAACTGGGTTTCTGTTAAACTAATTAAAGGAACTTCCAAATCTCCAGCTGGAAAAGGTTATTGCTCTTTCTTGCTGTGCAGAGTGATTACAGGTCCTTACAACACAGTGACTTTGCAAATCTGTATTAAGTATAGGGGAACTTAAAGCAGTTGAAAATCTTCCACTTCATAAACACTGTGGTTTTATGATCTTGGCTATTCCACTGCTACTGC